AAAACTTTGAAGCAGAGAGAAGAGACTGCGATTTTATTGAATAGATAAGTACCTTTATTTAACGAAGAAGAACTTTTATTTGCCCGGTCTTACAGTGAATTATATCGATTGCATTACGATATTTGCAATTCGATTTACAGCGCGAATTGCGAATCATCTGCAGGACACTCGCAGAATTCTCGAATGCATTGTAGCAATTTAAGATCGTCGCCGAATTTCATGAACCCGGCGCTTGTGCCAAGACTAGAGAGACTGCGGATGAAATTTTTCGAGCACTGGAGTGGAAAGAAGCATCTTCGACGTTTCGAAGTGGTAAATAATGGAGGGTGACGGACGGGAGTGTTGCTGCAGGCTGTTGCGACGAGGGTAGATGGGCGAAAGAAGGGGGCAGCGGCGGATGGTGAGACGACGGTGGAGAAAAGGATCGAAAATTGCACGGTAAACTCGTGCCACAATTTCCACCTCTCGGCGCGGTAAATTGAGAATAAACAGGCGTAGACGAGGCCGATGGAGTATTTCGCGTCTGCGAGATTCACGAAGGAATCCGGCGAAAACCGGTGTTTGATTTTACTTGCGAATGATCAATGCGAGAGAGGGTGAGTGTTTTTCTTGCGCTATGATAACGATACTGTGAAGTTTCTTCCATATTCCGAATTACATTAAATCGTAATAAAAATCAATACACAATTTCATTTATTATTTTTGACATAGGTAGATATATTGAAATATAAATCTGAAAATAATTTTATTTGGATTATCAAAATAATTGTATAAAACGCTCAAACTAGTCATAATGTTAAATCTTTTTGCATTTTTATCATCTTAAGTTATGTATAATTAATTATTTTGATAATCTAACAAAATTATTTTCAGAATTGTATCTAGATAAATTTTTAGATATCAGCAAAATCGTTCGTTTGTGTAATATACTTACATTATATATATATAATTGTTCAAGACATAATATAATATATAAAATTGTCCAAACAGCTACTATAAGCCTAGCCGGATGTTAATTGCCAAAAGAATGCTGATTCGTTTTAATCATGATTTAATAAATGTTTTGCATTTGTTGCGGATGTATTGCTTATTGCGCTCGACTTTGAGATGATTTTTAATGTTAATTTCAATTTTAAGTTGATTATACACTGAGGAAGACTAATGTTTGAAATGGTCACAACGTTAGTAGTGATTTTTTAATATTTATTGAATCATGATTAAAACGAATCAGCGTTCTTTTAGCAATTAATGGCTGGGTTTATTAGCTCTTTAGACTGAACTTTACTCATAGGAGCCTTTGAATTTAATTATTAGTTTTAAATGATATAAAATTGTATTAAGTGTTATGTGTAATATACATTAAGATTAGTTTTGTTTCTTTACATTTTTTTGTAAAGCTCAGAATTACCAGAATGTCGCTGCTAGACTGAAGATTCTTCGAGGCAATCGCGATAGGATACTTTTTCTTCCGAGATAGGCCCCAAAGAAATCTTATCTTGGCGCGTATTTACAAACTGCTTTCTTCCTAGCCTTTTACGTATTACCTGCCGCTATCTCGTTCCATTCGGTGTGGCAATATCGCGTAGTGGAAACGTATACACGGAAACGTATAACGTTTCGAATTGCACGTGTTGTATCCATGTCTCCTCTTACTTCTTTACAGTATTGCGCTGTCGGCAAAGTCTGTGTCCTCTCATCCATCACCAAGCTAAGGTCGCCGGTAGTCAGGAAAAGACGAGAAAGGCCTGCAGGCCGACAGGAGCTTCCTCCAATATCTCGACACAACGTTACGATTTGTCCGTAAACTGTGTTCCATCATCGCAAACCAAAACTGCCTGATTGAGCATTTCGAGAAAAGTCGTTATGACTCGTCAACCGAATAATTGTGATATTTCTTTGTGGCACGTCAATCGCTAAAAATAATCTTTCGATACATTATGAATACTTGGTTGCATTTCTCAATGAATGTAAATTATCAAATTTATTACTAAATATTTATTACATTATTATCATTGAATTTCAAAATAAAAAATAAAAAAATAATTATTCCCTAATCGTGTAGCGATGTGAAAGTCATGAATATTTTTTCACAAACATTAAGAATATATTTAGAATAATGTTAAGAATATATTTAAATATATATTAAGAGTCACAATTAATTACAGTAAACAAAGTAAGTTGATACGAACATCTTTTGCGGCGTTTATGCTCTCACTGCGATACCGCGGATTGCGCTCCGAAAAGGCGGAGAAGCTCACTTTATCGTTCGGGCGAGAACTGCGAAGGGCGGTTATTATTAATTGCTTCCAGAGGGTTTTACAACCGGGCGGTTAAAGCCACGGTCTTTTTTACGAGCATCGAACGGGCCGGTTTGGCTTCCCTTTTCCACCGCATCAGCGCAGTTCTCTCCATCCACTCTTTTCCCGCTCCGGACACTCGACCGGAAACTTCATTTACATCGTCAGCATCTATAAAACGGATTAATTGCAGTTGGCCGTGCGACGAGTGCTGGCATGCACAGCCGACGAACGTTCGACAGATGGAATTTATCCGCGAGCGCATCCTCCACAAAACTGCTTTTTATACTCTTTTTTTTTTCAAAATATATACCTCCAAATGTTCCATATTATATTTAATGTTTAAAATAAGTAAATTTTATTGTCTTTCGAAAAATTTATAAAATATTAAAAAAATAAATGTAATTATCATCTAAGAAAAAAAACATTAATTCTACACACACTCACACACACACACACACACACACACACACACACACACACACAAAAATCACGATTTTAAAAAATTCACGAATTTTAAATTTGAAGAATACAAACTAGAAATTAACTATAAATCATTAGATAAATGTAATTAACGACGAGTTTATAGAAAATAGAACATACTAATTATTTTTACAATTTGTACTACTTTTTTTTATTTTTACAATTAATTAATATACAATTGTTAACTATACATTTTTTACAATAATATAAAATATTGAAGTTAAAATTTTTAAGATAGAGTCTGTAATATAAAATGTAAATTTCAATTATTTTTTTTATTTTAATAATATATATATAATGATTTAAAGATTATATTATTTTACGGAATTAGATACAATTTTTTGGCTAATATAAATAAGAAGAAACACTATTACCGGACATAGGTCAACGAGTTTTAAATGGAATTACGCAGGAAAATGGAAATACACAAAAGTTGTGGATCATTTAACGAATTAACAATTATAATCTGCGATTAGAATTCCTATCATTAGCATAAGCCCGCGTCAGTGGGGTTGAAAAGTTTCCAGCGTTTGTTCGCCAGTGCCAAAATAATCAGAAGGGAAGGAGTAATTTTATGCGATCGCGCGGGGAGATTATGAGGGAAAAGTAGCCGACGAAGTAGTTGAAGAATGTTAAGTCAGAGAACCTTATTATCTTACCAAGATAAATCACGAAGGAATTGAGATTCTTGTTTAATCGTAGTAATTACAGTAGCAAGCTAAAATTAAAATTAGATATAGCGAAGTCTGCTCAGTGAATCTTTTTAATATAATTCGGTATTTATTATTTTCAAAAAAAAATATTTATAATAATCATTGATAAAATTAAATAAGAGTAAATAAAGACAAACGTACATTGAATAATGCAGCTTGTACTATCTGTAAGCTTTATTTAAAATTATTTGTTGCCCGAATTATGTATGTATATAGTTTAATATTATTTAATTAGTATACTGTATTGCAAAAGAATTATAAAAGAAAAATCAGATTTCAGAAGAAAAGAAGAATAAAAAGAAAAAAAATGTAACATTAAGCCATAGTCTGTTTTATATAATAGATTAAAACTACCAGTAATTTTCTCATTATGTAATAAAAAAGATATATTCCAATTCATTTTTTGCAAAATAATTAATAAATTAAATGTAACTAATACACTAAACAGTTTTATTAATTTCCGCTAGAAGAATTAAGATAGAAGAAGTATATTTTTTAATTAATTTATAACTTATGGAAACAAAAAGAAATTTTTTTTATTTTACGTATAGGATTTCTGTTTCTTTATTTGTATGTGTACAAAGCAAATATATTTATATTTATAAAAAATACTGCATAAGGTATTGTACAATATATATTTGATAAGTCTTTTCTGCTAGTTTTTATTTCTTCCCGGAGAACATAAATTTTAGATACTATTTCTCTAAAATCAGTATCAAGAACTCTAAAAGTATCAAGCGTCGATCTTGTATCTTCTTCTGTAATATATGTCCTCTAGGACTATACACAGAAATCGATTTTTTTTGATGATAATAACAGTACAACGATATATTGCTGACTATAAGTACATTTAAATCAACCGTCGGGAACACCGATCGTAGGAAACATTGTGAAGATAATGTACGTATCTACTTCGGTTATATCCTCTAGGATTATACACAGAAATCGATTTTCTTTGATGGTAATAACAGTACAACGGTATATTGCCGACTATAAGTACATTTAAATCAATCGTCGGGAACACCAGTCGTAGGAAACATTGTGAAGATAATGTACGTATCTACTTCGGTACAGGCTATTGATCCGATTAACGGAGCTCGCGTTCTTTGTTCACTGATATAGATGCCCTTACTTGTACCTAATTCAGAGAGAATAAGATTTTTATGTAATATACTTTTAAATATAAAACGAAGAAAGATAATGAAATTACCGCAGAGTTGACTGATCCAAAAATATATTAGAATTTTAGTGTGTAATAAATCGTTATATAAACGTAAAATTATATATACTATAATTATAATTATTATGTATAAATCATAAGAATAAATATAAATAATGCTAGAAAAGTATATAGATAAGAAACATAATTAAGGTAATTGATTTATTTATTCGTACAATTTTTACTTACATATAATAAATTTCACATTAAATTATATACAATATAACACAATTACACGAGATATAAATTTTTTAAATTATCAATGCCATGATTTTATTTAGGACAATTCTATCTTTTGTGAAAAAATTGGGCAATGTCATTTTTAAACGGTTGATTTTTATTGTAAGAAACATTAGATTTAATTTTGTTTTCGTTAGCTTCTTCGCTAAGACTTTTGTCATCCACTCTTAATATTTTCCCGTTTGTAGATATTTTCAAATCATTGAATACGTTTTGTAGATTCGCGTAAACTTGATTTTCGTAACGCATATTTGATTGAATAGAATTTTGCATAGCAATTTTATTTTTGAGATTCCTCAGTCGGGGTTGTATTTTATGATATGCTTCTTCGGCATTCAAACGGCGATCTCTTTCCTCCAATAGAAAATTGGTGTTCGTTTCTAAGTCCCGTATTAAGTTCTGATTGTGTTCAATCATGAGAGATAAGCGATTTTTTAATTCGTCCGCTTTGTACCACTTGATACGACTTTTGTTCACTGCAGTGTGCAATTTATATTTTTTATCACTTCTTTTCGGCTTGCATACGTGTCTTGTTTTTTGCATTTGTAAAATGCTATCTTTCTGCATTTTTATTTGAGCATGCTAAAACAGAAAAGTATATTATATAAATCGAATGTATAATATTTTTACTAGCAGTTACTTGCGTAATTCTAATCGCTATTAAATTTAAACAACTTACAGTTTGAATTTTGAAAAATCTGTTCTCTTTTGATACATGCTGACAAGATCTATTCTTAGGAACCATATCTTGTACAAGGAAGTGTTTGTGGCTCAATAATCTTTTCTTCATTGGTATTCTTTCCCCTTTGCTTTTCCTTTTTTTTAGAAACTTGCGAATAATTTGTAATATATCGGCCGACACTTCATTATCCCTGAGATCAATCTGCATAAGTACGCTATTTGTTTGTAAAAGTTCCAATGCAATTTCTCCTCCGCGTTGAGTAATTCCGCAACATCGTAAACATAATGTTTTGAGCCAAAAGTCATTTTTCAATATACGTATCAACTGCTTCAAACCAATATCACTAAATCGGTAATTTTTATCAAGTATTAATACTTGCAATCCTTCTTCCTGAAATGCGAATGCATTAAAATGTATTAAATAATTAAAATTAAAAACGTGACGTCTTAATTAGAATAATAATTTTTCTCTTGATATACTTACCACCGTTGTATGAGCATCACGAGATAATGTTGACTCCTTCCAAACATTTTGCAACAAATCTGCTTTCCTCTTTTTGAAGAAAAATGACAAATACGTAGCACTTCTATTAGTAAGGCAGCATGACGATAGATTCAGAACATGAAGATTTGAATTACACTGCAAACTTTCCAACAACATATAACATCCTATAAAAAAGATACAAATATATTATTATCTTCATTTTTCTTTTACATTAGTTGAAATTATAAAGGTTTATAAATTTATAAAGAAATTTATAATAAAAAGTTGTACTTGAAATACGTAGATATAATGCCAGATTTATATTGGTTGTTTGAAAAATTCAAATATTTTACAAATTTCAACGAACCCATATCACCTATTCGACATCTGGCCAATGACAAGTTTTGCAGATTACGATTATTTGCCAAGCCATCAGCAAGGATCCTTAGATATTTAGGTGCCAGAGGGATACCATCAAGTGTGAGGATGGTAATCATCAACGAATTCTTCAGACAGACTGCGACGGAATGAACGAAGCATTGTAGAAGACAGTTCGTGTACAATACTGGCTGCCGTCGGTCCTTTCGTGCGCATCTCCTGAATGTGCGAGCAGAATGCCAATCCATTTGCCATTTTACGATTTGCGAGTTTATATCATCGTTTTTTGCCATTTTCATATTTTTTAATTCTTCTTTTGATTGTCTCTTTGTCGCGGCGTCACCTGCAAGCTCAAACTTACTGCGAGTAGTATCCAAAAGAAACAAATAATCATAGTATTTAATTTTACTTTTCAAATGTTCAAATATTTTTTGTAACAATGATTATTTTGAAAAAATGTTAAAATTATTGAAAATAAGATTTAATTCTCTATATATTAATTATTTTTTATATAAAAGATTTACATTGCTCTTGAGTGTATGAAATTACTTTGTAAAAAAGTAATTTATTTGTCTTTTTGTCACAATTTTAATTAGTATTTTAAACATTTACATAAAAGATTTAAAAATCTAAGAGACTTTTAGAGAAAATTATATCAGGAATTTCAAATAATTTTTTATAAATCTATATCAAAAATCACTTATAGTCATATAAGAATCTTATAAAAATGATTTAATATTTATTATTTCAAGACAAATAATAATTCTTCCATTTAATTACTAAAACCGTTTAATATCGCGATGTTAAAAGGAATATATCACGAATTAAATTTTCAACATATTTTCAATTACCATAATTTTATAAGTTTCTGTTCTATGTCCATTTTTCCTCTAATCTTTTTATTGCGACATTGACTATATATATAAATTTTGGACAGACTTCGATCTTCCATTATACTGTTCAATAGTGGCAACCAGTCTTTCAAATTTATATAATCGGCACAAAATCGCAAGCAATTCTTTTGCAGATACATTTGTATTGTTGGTAAAGGTTTTATGTTTTTCTCGCGGCATAGCACCTTCATTAAAAATATATCTTTGATATTATTATTTCTTTTCAAAAAAGAAATTATAATAATTGGTATAAGAGGTTATTAAACAGAAGTAACACAATCTCTGTTCTACTTATCAAATCTACAAATAAATTTTTAGAAATTAAATATCTTAATTATTTCATTTTTTATAAGTGCTAAAATGAATTTTTTATTTAATAATATTTCCAAAGTATAATTAAAATAGCTAAAATAATTAAGAGTAAAGTATAATTAAGATTGCAAGCTACTGATTTTATGTTTAACAAAATTTTTAAATAACCAACCTTGTATGTATATTCAAACGATCCATTGGAACTTTTCTCTTCGCAATTTTGCATAATGTCACGTGTAATTTTACTTGATTACGAATTTCATTCCCTAAGGACCTATAATTCTCGCCGAAATAAAATTCAGATGACGGATCACGCGTTCTGAATGGACGAAGACATTGATATAAAAATATCGAACATTTGAATGCTACTATTAGCAGAAGGCATGACAATTGTTTCTTCATAAATTCCACAATGATATTACGGAAAAATGCGACTTAATATGAGTAATAAAAACGGCAGTTAAAACTATATTTAGATACTCGTAAATAAGTGCAAGGTAAGATAAGTGAAATTATTGAAACTTGTTTATATGTATACATATACAGGGTATCCTGCGAGACTTTTGCCAAGCGCTTTTTTGCAGATAGAGCGAACTAAACTGAGTCGAAAAGTCATCTACCATTTTACAATTTTCGCAGTAATTAACAAGATATTAACAAGATATTATACTAAAAATTGCCGAATATTGGTTTTCAATAATTTTTTATTCAAACACTATCAATTTTACAGAAAAGAACAACAAGAGACAAAAATTGTTTATTTTCTTCTCATAGAACTCTAAGAATTTTTTCAAAATTTTTTATCAACTTTTTAGTACTGCATTTTCTTATTGGCAACTATTTTTACCAACATGAGAAAATACGGTATTAAAAAATTATGAAAAAATTCTCAGAACTTTTTTTGAGAAGAAAATAAGCAATTTTTGTCTCTTGTTGTTTTTCTATAAAGTTGATAGTATTTGAGTAAAAAATTATTGAAAACCAATATATATATTCGACAATTTTTAGTAATTGATATCTCGTTAACTATTGCGAAATTTGCAAAATGATTTTTGCAAAATGAAAATTGCAAAATTGCAAGATTTAAGAATATTAAGAAATAAGAGATAAATCTGTATAAAATAAAGGATAAATCTATATTAGAGAAATATATAGAATGTCGAAAATTATTGTAGACAAGAAGATAAAATTTTTTTTGTTAAAATACATAAGAATATATTTATAAGATAAAAGACTGTTGTCACATAAAATGTGATAGAATGTGAATAATATACATGAAAAAATTGTTATTATACAAAACAATCTCAATTGTTCTTGCGAATGCATTTACTTATCTTAAGTTGCGAGCAGAAATTGAGAATTTACATTAAAGTACTAGAAGCGTTGCATTAAAAAGCAGCGGATAAGAAATAAAACAGATATATAAACGCACGATAAGCACTTGTGTAAAGATAACTTACGTCACGGAAATTCTAAAACGATCCTAAATAGTCGCCTTATAAAAAACGACGCTGTGTTAAGCGATTAAATTTACAGTGATAATTCCTCGATATCTTGTATTTGCTACTCGCAAATTCTACTTATCCCTCCCTCTATTGTCCGTGAGTATTACTAGTTTGAAATTACCGCTTATAATTGAAACACGCGTAGATCTTTCATATACTGTATCTTCGTACATATTTATGAATATTATTCAAATATCTGTTGCATTATTTTAAGTAAAAACATGAGATAGATGCATGACGACGGACAAGAAGACTTTGAACGATGAGATTTCAAAGACGTCCTCGTGAAATCGCACAATTTAGCCAGTAAGTCTGAGGCCATTGTGCTGCCTACACCCGATTCCATCTTCATTAAAATCTCGCGCACACCTCGAAGCGCCGTGTCGCCTGACAAAGGAGTATCCGCGATTCCTACTGTTCGCCTACTGTGAAATCGTCGTCATCGCAATCGTTACGTGACATCACGAAAGTCTTCAACGAAAAGTTTTCACCTCTGTCCCACTACATTCGCTTCAGTCGCCGAAATAAACGCCGCTTGAATATGCCGAATACGCATCGGGAGTTAGCGCGGAGCCGTATCTGACCAAGTGTCCCGTACCTACTTGCATCCCATCTACTTCAGCGCGAGGCAAGCGTTTCGAAGAAAAAATTTCTCTGCACTGCAGTTTAACGAGACTACAAAGTTGATCTTATCGGATGTAAGGATCGCCTCTTCTAGAGCAGAGACTCATTTGGACGACCTACGATTGACACATTGTGTTAAAAAACATGTGATAGGCACACTCAGTAAACGTACGTACATACTTGTACAAACGTACGTACTGGCCTGATATCATTATTTATTTCCGAGGGTAATTAACGGCTTTATTCTTCTTTATCGAACAAGCCAAGTGTATTTTTATTCACCAAATCGAACGTATACATCTTATTTCAGCAGGAGAGAGTCATCGTATTTTTGAATAAATATTTTTCAATTTAAATGTTAGTGTTGTAAGGCAATAAACAAAATTTAATATTAATAATTAATATGTATATGCTTAATAGTAATAATTACTATAAATGCTATTGCACAGATATTTAACAATTGAATTTATTAACTTGTAGATATATCTTATAAATTGAATTTAAAGTAAAAATAATTTGGATTACCTTTTTATTTAAAAAAGCTGCAATCGTTATTTTTAATATAAGTATACTTTTATATCGTTCTTTTTACGTGAGCATAACACATTTCAAGATAGCAAAAAAATAAAAACTTTTATTTATTAAAGATTATTATCTTAAAGTCTTATCTGTCTCTTTAACTTTAAACTTTAAATGTCCGTATCTTGGTATAGGAACTACAGACTTGTATCACTATGAAAACAGTGCCTCCGATAATTATGCACACAACACTATTTGCCCATTTCATGCCCACACAACGCGTAATCGGACGAATTACGTGAACGGCTATCTCATGCAAAATGTCTCTAATTGCGCATGCCGAGGATTGTGGCTGCCAAGTGATACAGCTATTTGAGATGCGTCGCGGAACTTTTAAATTATATGTAGACACTTTCGGTGGAAGATAAGATAAAGCTGACTGGGAAAATTGCACTGACGTATGACCTCGTACACGCGAAATCTTCGCCTCGGTCTTGACGCACGTTCAATGCTGATTTAATCGTTAACGGTTGCAGAGTTTTCGCAAAATTTCTGTTCGTCTCGACGAGAGCAAACGTTTTATTTGGCTTTTTAATGAATAATTAACAACTATCGCGTATTGTAAACATTACGAATGTTTATTAAATCTGTTTGAAAGTGAAAAATTCCAAGTGATTGAAAAAATCCCAGTTGATGCAATATAAATTTCATCGGTACTCATTATTTAATCGAGTAATTTAGCGATTTAGCATGTCGTTCTGAAGTGGTTTAGTCCCGGCTTTATTAGCGCAATCTTTTATGTACGTTAATTAATGTAAAATAGTATTCGCACAATCAATGTTTGGGTTATGCAAAATCAGTGCGCAGAGGACTGTTTCCTTCGGTCTCGAGATAAGCAAATTGATATGGTGCATGAGCATGCATTTTTACACACACGCGTGCACGGTAAGCACACGTTTCATTTAAATAATGTTGAATTCTCAGCAATCTTATTTTTTTTCTAAATGAAAAAGAGGAGATTTTGCTTCTACCAATCGCCTTCGATGAAAGATAACCTAACGACTGTCGCGGCTGTCATTGACGATTCAGAATCTGGCCGGATGCTTTTCGTAATTTCCGACAATGTGAGAAATAACAAGGAGGTCCACCGCGAACTGAGAGCTCGTCTTAAGAATGGGATGCAAGATTAGTATACTGAAGTGCATGAAAGGCAAAGTCGAGCAGGAGAAGAGTATATCGTCGGAAACTAGCAGTTCTATCGTTACAAGCGGTACGTTACTCTTTTTCTTCTAACATATTTTTGTTTCTGATTTTACCAGGAAATAAATTGTTCCATGTTCGTGTAAGGTTAAATTTGAAAATCATAATTTATAAAAGATGTAGACAATTGGACAGACATTTACATTATGATTTATATAACAATACAAAGCTATAATTTTTGGAAATTTATTATGAAGATAGATACGATTCATAATTTATTTCACACTTCATGCAACCGTAAATTAAAAAAAAAATGTTTTGCTATATGATTTTCTATGAAAAAACATAACGATAGAATAGATTTAAAAATTATATTTTTTATTAATTGATTATTTAATAATTTTGATCAATAAATAATATAGAGATATAAATAATGTATCGATCGCAATCCACATTAATTATTTCTTAATGATTAGCACTGTAAAATAAAAATTTACAAACAACGTATGTTCGTCTCTGTAACTAAATCCTTTTGACGCGAAACTTAAATGCTTCCTTTCGATTGCAAAATGTAATCAAGTTTGCACGTATTCGGCTCTTGGATATATATAATATACGATTGGGGAATTTCAAACGTTGAAGCATAGTAATCTTCTCTCGAAGGTCGACATCTGGATGATTATGTTCTTTGTGTTTACTCAGTATAACCTGTTTACGACTGGTTGGAGCAACGTTACACTCTCCTACAGAATTTGCTTTTTAAATAACTATTTCTGTTTTTCTGTATTGCATTAATTTAATCTATATCTTGGACATACATATTTCAACGCTTCAGTTGGTGATAAAAGTAACTAATAAAATGCTTCAATTGATAGCAAAAGAAAGCTTTTAGAATTTCCAATATAAGTATTTTTTACGTATATAATATTATGTCTAAAATCTACATTATTGTTATCATTTTCATAATTATGTCAATTACATAAATATGCATTTGCGTAATAATTATGGCAAAAAGAAATTTACACCAAATACATAAATGTAATATAATACTCAGAACTTCATTGTATATTATTAGATACTTTCAAATGATAATATAAAACATAAGTTTGTAACTGTCATAGAAAATAGCTATTTATTTATATCTATTTTATTTATATCTATTTTATTTATATCTATTTTATTTCTTATTTATTGTTTCTTAACACAATGTTTTTTATACGAATCTTAGAGTATTTATATTGAAACTATCTTTTAGTTAAAAGATATGTATATAATTGTTTGATATTTACAATGATCAATCGTCAATTATTATTTTAACTTTTCAAACTATTGAGTGCATGGTCAGACATTTTCGAACTACTGAGTATAGCATGGTTAGACATTAAACAATAATAAGAAGTTTCATTATAATTGAAGAAAATTATTATTTCGATGTTTTTACGGTCAAACGAGATTTTATTGTTCAAATAAATTTTTATTTCTTCCTCCAACTTTCTAATCATAAAGATCATAATGGTTTGACGTTAACAAAAGTTGAACAATCAATCGAAATCGTATTACTGTGCGTCCGTCTGATGGATGCCTTTCATTAAAGAGAAGGGAAGGAAGAACGGGGAAGGTGGATTTCAGGTAACAGTCATTCTCCTTGACCTAGTCTACGACTGACCACGCCGTGCGTGTGTCGACTGGAGTCATCGTTCGAGACATGAATTAATCAGATGTACGAAAGGGAGCAACTTGTAGCAATGCGTTTCTAATTTTTCGATTTAGGAGTCTGCGCAACGCAATGTCATACTAGCCGCGGCCGTATAATATTTCGTTCTCAAGGATTGATTCTAGGACGAAGGTTAATTGTTCTCCAACGCTTTCAAGAGGACTTTTGTAATTTCATCACTTGTACCAATTCTACACTTATATCTGTAATTCTTTAAATGAATCGATTATCTTTCAATAATCCATTCACTAATGTGTGTGTGTTTCAACAATAATTTGTTTAACTCTTCAACAAATTTCTTTTTCCAATTTCGCTTCGTTTTCTAAACTTATAACAACAATATGTAACTAGAACTTTTGCCTATCTTTTAAATATATGATGATTGTGAGAGCTATCTATATAATTACTATATTTTCAGATTGCTTTTATCATTAGATATTTAATAGGACGTACTTATTTATAAATAACGGCTATCATTTTTTTTGTAACTTTTATGAGAAGAAATTGAGGCTTATTAGGTATTATTTTAAATTGCTATAGCCTATGTCGTGTGCGTGCATGTTTTGAGGGAATTATATAAATGAGGTCTTCTATTCGTTTTTTTCTTAATATTATTGTTATAATGCAGTGATTTGCTAATAAATATTCCACAGTCACATAAGCACAAACTTATATACATTAAATTCAGTTCGAGTATCAATATCATATATTGTCAGATACAGATATGATGTATAATATTTCTATCATCTGTATATGTAAATGCATGTCGGGTACTTTAATCGATTTTCTAGAAAATTTATTAAGTGTTTTAAGACATTAATTTATTTAGCTTACTAGCGATAAGTACAGACCTGTCCAATTTGAGCTCCGGAGCTAAAACACAAAGCCATTGACGCAAATAAATTAATATGGGTAAGATTTCGGTGACTGTAAAGTGTTGATACGCGTTTGATCGTCGTGATGCTTATCAACACTTTACAGTCCATGAAATCTTACTCATTGAATTTTTTGTGTCGATGGCTTGTATTTTGGCTCTGGAGCTCAAATTAGATAGGCCTGGATAAGTATTTACATGTAGATATTATTTACAGATACTACAACAGAGCTCGACAGGGACGCAGACAGTCTGTATCTCGCGTTCGACACACACAAGTCCCACAATTTTATCGCCGAAGAGGACGATCAAAAAGTAGCGCAACGTTAGTTAATTATTGGATTAATTGTTATGTAAAGCTATCTATATAAAACAGTAGAAGACATTATTCGATTGCCGATTACATTTTATATAATCTAAATTTGTAAACAATATTTATATGTTATCAGCATCGATGATTACATATACGCATATTTTTTCTTTCTCTCTAATTAATTAATTAATTAGATTAATTTCACTAATGTTCACATGTGAAATCGGTAAACATGACTCCTGTGTAAGTCGTTTAGCTAACATCGATAATATCTACGATGTTTTTGTAGATACGTAAGCAAAGTACAAGTAGTTTGAATTATCTTATCAGATCGAAGATTGTTAACAATGAATTCATTTAAATGTCTATGGCAACGTATTCGTTCTGACTGAAACAACATGATTGTTATTTAAATATTTAGTAGAGTTATATTAATACAGTAGAGCATATATCAGTATACACATAAATTTTTTTTATCTGATCAGATCAACGACTTTATTTTTTTAAATTCAATTGCGTATGACCATGGCTATATTAATATACATATTTTTTAAATAATTCAGTAATTTTTTGTGGACTTAACATCAAAGAATGTTCAATCTTTAATTTTTTTCATTTATCGCCTCTGTGTATGTTTTACTTTTTCATGCATAATAATGATGATTCTTCTTTTGAGTGACGTTTTATTTCTAAAATGATCATTTACTTCGGGAAATCTTGTTCTACTTTTTCTGAAACTCAATTTTACGCGATGCATATTTCTGTCTGTGTGCGCGTTAAATGGACCTGCAGTATCTCTGATCTCCCCGACGACGCTATCGCGTTTGCTCTTCTGGGGCCAGTCACTCTCAAGTAGAATTTTAACTTGGTCGATTCGGTACTCTCGGTCAGTCGCTGTCTTTGGGCCGCAAACGACACATCGTTCGGCACACGTGTATGCCGATTTTTATCGTCGTAATTTTAATCCGCTCGTGATTTTAATGCCCGCAAACAACGTCGGAACAAATTGTATTTCAGTGTTGTTAATTGTGAAATCTCACGAAACTGATCATTTCGAGTGCATGTGTTATGTATGAGCGAATGTCATTAACTTTCAAACATTTTTAAACATATTTAAATAATGTGGTGTGATGAGACAAACTTAATGCTAAAAGAATGTATTAATTCTTTTATTTAACATAAATGCCGGTTAAAGATTTTTAAAAATGTGAAATTTTTAGTAATATCTCTTATTTGATAATAGTTTGCTGCGAAAAATTAACAAAATTCTGAAGAGATTTAGCTAATAAAGACAACTTTAATTTTATCTCCACTTTGTCATAAAAATGGGTATACGTTAGACACAATTTTTGTATTACTTTTAACAAAAAATTTTTTAAATAATTCACTGTTAAAAAATTGTACGATTATTTTTGGATAATTTTGATCTTTGGAACGAAAATAATCTATTGAGCAACTTATTTAAACCTAGACAAATTACTTAGCATTTCAAGAATTGAAATAATTGATAATATTTTGATTACATTAATTAAGATTCATTAGTATATGTTAACTTGATGAATAATAAATAATTTCTGAATGTCTTACATTTTAATTTAAATACATTTATAATATCTTGGAATTAACATACAATATATTTATATTTATACATATTTTAAGTACACAATCTTTTTGTGCTATTTATAAATTACAAAGACAAATTTATTTGTTTTGTATAAATATGTAAATTACGTAAATTTAACTTTTTTTTACATATTCATATATCCGAGAATAACAAATTTTATTATATTTTTATTCAAATAAAATAACTTCCATTTTTTTAATAAATGAAAAAAAACATGTATAATGCATTGATAAACAAAAATGCAAATGTTTATAACAAAATATCAATTTCTATGTGGGAAATAATTTGCTGTTATATTAATACTATATATTTTTAATTTATTATTATAAGAAAAGAAAAAATTAATATATTGCTTTTAATAATAATATAATTAAAAATGTCCCCTTAATTAATAACAAATTTATTGAAAATTAAATAATTAAATCCGTATACACAACAAATCAAACTACAAAGACTCTTTATAAATAAAAAAAAAAATTGGAAAAACTAAGGACAATAGGAGTCAGGCGCAGAAGACGTTGCGCAAATAATACACCCATAAAGCGTAAAACTTCTTTATTCTACTAAACGCGCGAAATAATTAAAAAATTAATTTCTAAAAATGTAAAAACTTGTCTTATTATTGCGGATTTCAGTGAATTTTCGAAAGAAAAATTCACATTGACGAATATTTAATATAAATAATGATGTGTAATAATATAACACTGTCAATGTAATGAAAGCAGACACAAAGAAATATATTTTCAAACAGTGTGAAATCACATAGCTCCGTTTAACTCAATGACCCCAAGGCCGAAAACATAATTCATATGGCATCGCCGCCGAATGAGTATTTCTTTCCAAGCGAAGACGAAGACAGCTTGGAGGATGAATTATTTCCAGATCATTTATTCGGTGCGTAAATGATCGTATCCAATCTTTTAAACTTTCCATCTTAATTCCATTAAATACATTGTAAGGCACGCATTATGTAATTATTTTGTAATAAGTACGTCCTGTAAGTAGAACAATCTCTCAAAAAATTGGAGCAACGATTAATCTACCTTCTCAATTAAATTCAATTGACTTTTAATTGCAATAAGTGCTACTGTGACCCATAAATCCCATAAGATACGTCCATATAGTACGTAAATGTATCTTTAACAAGCTTCGTTATCATAATTACTGATGCATTGACAACTAAAATACGTTAATTAATAGATTGAGCATGGTTAGGAAAATGTCCGATACAATACATATACAAATTAATATACATGAATAGCGAGTACCAGCTTTATTACATATGGCTTTAATGACGATAGATCTTCAATTACGATGCTATAGTCACGCTTAGCAACTACCTGTTGCTAAGAATTATCGATTGTTCAAAAGAATATCCGTCAGTGTTTCGAGTTTGATTATAATAAATTGAGTATTCGATGCGATTGTTTCAGGTAAGACGGATGCGTTTGACATTGTGACTGAAAAGAATGAAAAAACACCCTTCGAGGACAGCACCCACGATGAGAACGGCGATTACTTGACTGTCGTAAGTTACTTTCCGTTACTAAATATTATTCAATGATATAAATTTTTTAAATGTCATTTTTCTATTTTGTATAAATTGCTTGATGGAACATCAAGCAGTTAACCGAGTAAATTATTCATATTGTTATCCGATGTACTATTCCATAAATAATCGGTATGTTTACAATATGCAAAAATTCCGTTACGTTCCTTTTAAAATAAATAATTCTTCAAATCACAGAATTATTAAGTTAATTTAATTATATTAATATAATAAACTTCGGATTATCTACTTTCTATAACTGATCGAGCGATACAACATAAGATATAACGATATCTTATTGGATTATATCTTATTGGATATTCAGCTAAATATATAGAGACTCATATCGCATAAAGATGATGCACTTGACGATAAGTGACGTGGCTTGTGACGTAGGCACGCGTTATCACATTTCTATTAATCAGAGGCCTGCTATCTAGACACTTTTCCATTCGTAATCAAAGATAAGAATCGCCTAGGTTGTACAACTTCATACTTTTGAATATGGATAAGAGACTGAATTTCGATATATTCGTCGATTGTTTATCGATTTCCTTTTAATTTCAGTGATATCATTAATATTTTAATAAAGAGACTATTTGCTGGTGAAGTACCTCATTTCCAAAAATTGGAAATTTTATTAACAGTTCTGATTGCACCCGCAATAGTTCTACAGTTCTCTCTCCTGCTAGGTTTTATAAATAGTTCCGTTGTGATTTAGCTTGAAAAAAATATATATAAGGTGCTAACTTCGCATAGCACCCCAAGATTTGAAAAAGTTGATTTTTATTATGAAATCTTATAGTTCTCGAAGAGTTCAATAATTCCTGATAAATTTTAATAATAGTTCGGGGGACACTAAATATTTTTAAATAAACTTTAAATCTAAGAGCTGGCATCTCAAGTTGCACAAAAATTAATTTTTATTAGGAACTCTTTTGTTTTTAAAGAGTCCTACAGTTCTGGATAAGTCTTAGTGACAATTCCGGCATTTAAACATTTTTAAACAATCTTTTAAACTAAGCGCTGGTACAGCATCAAAAGAGTAAAGTACCTTTTAGCAGCCAGCTGACTTTTTGGCACTCTCCGATAGTTCTACAATAGTTCCGAAGATTTATATAGGTTTCGATCAGAGTACGGCTTTAATTATTTTCGAACAATTTTTTAATCTGAGCTCTGGCACCGCACCACAAGAGTAAAGTATCTCCTAACAGTCAGATCCAACCGACTTTTTGGCATTTTCCAATAGCTTTATAATAGTTCCGACGATATTTATAGATTTCGTTCAGAGTTCCGGTCATTAAGTACATTTTAACAAATATAATTGTTGGGAATTCAATTTCCCACTCTCAGCTACTCATTAATTGATCATCGATAGCCTACTTATCGATAGTCACTAGGTTATTACTTCCACCTTGTGGTGCTTATAACCTTTTCCATTTTATTTGTTTTGCTCGACTCATTCATCGTACCACGTTGATATCAAGCATTACTAAGTTTATCTTTATGTCTGTTCTTCAAGAGACACGATACATAAGTATGAATCTTGTAATACGAATGTAATACGAATCTTGTAATCTTGTAATTATTAAAAAGTATAATACTTAAAGACCGAAATTATGAGAGAAACGTATAAAAATCGTCGAAACTATTGTAGAACTATCGGAAAATGCCAAAAAGTCGGTTGGAACTGGCTGCTAAAAGGTACTTTACTATTGTGATGTGGTGAAAGCGCTCAAATTTAAAAATTGTTAAAAAATATTTATAGGCCCAAACTCTAATCGAAACCTATATAAATCGTCGGAAATATTGTAGAACTATCAGAAAATGCCAAAAAGTCGGTTGGATCTGGCTATTAAAAGATACTTTACTCTTTTGGTGCGGTACCAGCACTTATGTTAGTTTAAAAAATCGTTTAAAAATGTTTACAGGTCAGAACTGTCACTAAGACTTATCTGGAACTGTAGGACTCTTCGAGAACAAAAGAGTTCAATGATAAAAATTCATTCTTGTAAAACTTGTGGTGCCAGCTCTTAAATTTATTTAAGCTCTTAAATAAGTATTTATTTAAAAATATGTTTGGACCTGTTATTAAAATTTATCAGGAACTAAAGAACTCTGTTCGAGAGAATTATAAGATTTTATAATAAAAATCAATTTTTTCGGTTCTTAATGTTCCACTCGAAGTTAGCACCTCATATTCTTACTTTGCGGGTGCAAGCAGAACTGTTAATAAAATTTCCTATTTTTTTAAATAAAGTGCTAACTTCACAGAAACCAGTAAATATACTTTTAACAATGTGTATTCACATATGTTACAAACTCGAAATGTTAATTTCAATTTGCTATTTTTAATTTAGAAATGTATCATTCTTTTGTTTCTATATCTCTACTCTGTTATCCTCTTTTGTCTTTCTCTTGGCTTTTACGTGAAAAAGTTTACAAACAATTAAAAATCAGTTTACCTCTAATATTAATATTTAAAAATTATCTATAATATTACGTTCTAAAAATAATATAAAGTATCGGCGCAATTTTCCAGGTTTTATAAAGAATACGTAATGAAAAGAAGACAGGAAATGAAAACTTTCAAACGAAAGGAAAGTTCATCGAAATATCAAACAAAAAATCATACGGAAGTGTGGACATAAATAGCTCGAAAAGGGAGAGACATCGTAAATCCCGCTCGCAGGGAATATTCAATCGTTAATTGTACGTAGCGGAAAGAAAAAGAAAAGAGATAAAAAAGCGGGGGAATAATCTAGCGAAGAGTTGTTCTCGGCGTCAGCCCTCTTCGTTCTCACGGTACTTCGTCGGGAAACTCACAATCAAGGCCTCTCCTCCCCGCGATAAAAGCTTCGCGAAGAGAAATTCTAAATATACGTGCGTTTTTCTGCGTATCACTGATGTGGCTTTCCACCGAGACCAACCCTTTCAATAATTCGCGCAATGGTAACGAAGTTTTTTGCAAAGTTTTCGCGCGGGGGTAACGACAGGGTAATGCTCGATCGGCTTGAGTCATCTGTTCCCCGATGGTCGATTAAATATGAAAATTGTTCGGACTCTCTTCAACCTCACGGGCATAAGCGCCGGCTGAATAATTGATTCGCGGCGCGCAATCGCAGTGAAGACGAATTCTCATTTGGCCGCTTCCCCTCGACGAGTCAAGATCTCATCACTCGACTATAAACAGGTCTATAGACTGTCTCTAGACAAGCATGAACGGCCAGATAAAGAACGGTAGTCGAGTCCGAGTTGCTCGCTTAAAGTATGCGGATGTGTAACACGCTATTACCGTGCACGTTTCTGGCAATCCAGAAAATGTCAGTTAAGAAAAATGTGCTAATAATTGGTTACGCACTACACGTGTTTGAGTAAAATCAAAGTGGGAAAATCGATTGTGCGACGCACCACGTCAGCTCGGAACCCCTGTAGAGTGTAAAGTTACCCCACGATAAACTTTCTAATATTTTCCTACGAATGATTTCGGATCTTCGAAGCGTCGAATGTGAGAATTATAGTTCGTCTGTGCTATCAGAAGTGTCTTGTTAATCAGAAGTTTGGAACATGTTCGAACGCGATGTCACTCTTTTGTCTTATTCACTTCGTTGTTGTTCCCCTCGGTTAATCGTTGTCTCTCGAACGTGCTCGTACTTACGTACTTTCTATAGCTCGAGCGATGATTCAGAGCTGAACGAAACACAATTGTCGGAGTTGTCACGCACAGCAATTATTCTGATTGAATTATCGGTGGGAGCAGTGTTTCGTGAAAAGTTACAATGTTTGATACTGTAGGCTAAAAGTGCGCACGTTGTGCCAAGTTAAACGCTAAACCGGCAATTTGCGTTTATGTTTATCAACTTGTTGATGGAACGAATTGAATTTTCGCATCGCTTCCGTGCAAAATTTTTGGCTCATTATCGTATACGTATGTGTTGATTTCTGCTATTTTTTAGAAATGAATGTAAGATAATAATAATTGTCACTCTCGTTCATTCACCGTTATTTTTTCTACAAGAGATGTTGATTAATATTGCGAAGTGACTCGCGACGAATCGATAGCAGGATAGCCGTTGTTCTGTTGCATTTTCCCTACCTGAACGTAAACGAACTTTTCTACCCTTTCTATGGTTTACGTTCGCCGAACAATTAAAAAAACGAATATAAACCCTACGTATTTTTCGTCCCAATGTGCAGTTTTCTCTTTTTTAATTAACAGTTATCTTCTCAGGGTGCACAAGAAATCGAATATGCAATATTCTCAACTGACCATAAATTTCTCTCCCTAATTCCATATTTGATCACGACAATGGTTCGCAAGCGACCAGCTATGATGACTCAAATGGTATCTGTATAGCAAACCACCAGTAATTGTTAACGCAGCAAAATTTAATTTATTTCACAAATTTATGATGTTTGCAATGAATTTGAATTTTATTTAAAAATAAAATTCAAATTTAACCAAGCGAATTTTATTAAAGATGAATATTTAATATTATTAAGGATGCATAAAAAATTTTTAGAAAATAAAACTAATAATTTTTTTCAGAATGAAATTATGTGGTATTTAAAAATATCCTTACGCTGTATATATGTATATACACATTATTTAAAGGGCACGATAAACTTGTAGCGATATCGCTTATTTATGAATGTTTTTTCCGTTAGCTAAAAAGTTTTATCCGGCTTTTTCACAAAATATACTATCATTACTGAAACTCTAATATGGATACCTTATCGCAGATTTCTGTTTCTGATGCATCGAGTGAATATATCGATCTCACTAGCCATTGATCGATGATCAATGTCACAATGATCCTCTCTTTAAACGTCTGCGATTCTCTATCGACTTGATAGAGTTAAATATTAGAATTAAAATATGAAATACTTATTACAAAACAGATAAAAAATTGTAAAAATTAAAACATATCTTTAAATTAAAATATTAATTCCGAAAAAAATGTAAAAAGAAATATAATTCGGAATAATTAATATCTGCCACACAACTACTGTTTTTATACAACTGCTATTTTGCTTTAACGATTCTCACGCTAATAAGGTATATTGAAAAATAGATGTTTGTCTGATGCTTTATGTCTGTGTGGCGAGACTAGTGACAGTATTTTTACGAAGAAGAAAATCGTAGACATGATGTAGTAGCACTTTCAGTATAGTGTGCGGACGTATGTAAAAGAAATGGATGCACTAAAAATAAGATGCAGTGGCTTGAACTGGTAGTATACCAATATTAGGGTTCGAAATTATTATCAATCGTCATTTCTGGTATAATTTTTATGCACTTATAATTTCATTTTTCTGAGGAGTATTAAGAAGTAGTAAATTTACTGCTTTCCTTAAGTCGCAAAATATTGCCCGATGTATCTTCAATACGTAGTAAATGTACACTAGGCGTCATTGATGCCTTCCAGCTTAAAATTTATAATTTCCTCCGATCGTACACATCATATCTATACAATATTAAAAAAAAAAGAAATTTCCTTCCATTACATGTAACGGAACGCCTAGCGTATATATGTATGCACAAATAGCTTCTAAAACAGCCAAGAGTTTGCAATAATTTGCAGTGGTAATTATTCTTTAAAATCGATCTTTATCAATTTGAAATGTACAAATTGCTAATTTCGTTGTTATTGTCAAATATTTGACATACACAGGTTAGAGAATGATACGATCCAGCTATTAATTGTCGCAAATGAAAGACCAAATTCCGTATCATAGAACCGTAAAAAATGTGGAAGTATCTCCACGTGCGCGTCGTCGAGCGAAAATTTACAAACTACTTGAATTGATATATCTAGATAAAGAGGAGTCGGTATGTAACCAGCACTGATATCGATGCATTAATATTAAGTCTCTGATTAGATTTGATCAAATAAAGGTATTACTCATGGTAAACATGCATTAAAATTATGAAAAAAAAAGAGAACTGATAAATCTCTCTAATCACAAATTTATTTTATTCAGCTTCTCAAATTACTTTTTTCTTCTGTTTACAGAAAGGACCTCAAGATCTTAGTAATTATTTATTAACAACCAACGTTCCTAGTATTGTAAAAGTAAGTATAGCAACGTTCGATTTGTGATGAAATTACAAAAAACATCCAATTTTTTTTTGAGACATTTTTGGCGTCACTAATGCACTAGTTTCGTTTTCCATACTTCTGTCAAACTTCTTCATTGTGCAGATATTATTAGTCTTTAGCAAAGATGACCAACAAATGGACATACTTGCTAATATCGCGAGAAGATTGGGATGGAATGTATCGATGGCAAAAGATGCGGAAAAAGCATTAGAACTTTTTCAAAATCGTGCTCACGAATTAGTGATTATCGATCATAGAGCACATCACGCTGCCGAGGGTGATGCTATTTGTAGGTATGGCAGGTCGTTTAAATAAAATCTAATGAATTCTCATCTGTGAAGAAGGTTTTTTTGCTCAAAATGTGAATTTATTTAAAAAATGTTCTATTATATATAATTTTCACAATGTGATTAATTATTTACACACGTGCACATTCTTTTTACATACTCTATTTGAAATGTTAAGAATATTTAATTTCAGAGCGATTAGGTCAAGTCCGGTTTATCACAATTCTGTCATTATCGCGCTCGTAAAGAAATCGTAAGTCTGTCAATTTTAAAAATTTAATTTACTTTTACTTTTATTTTAACATTTGAATTTCACGTATCTTCTAGGTACTTCATGCTTGATGAGAAAGACCATATTGTAGCATTAAACTTGCTAGAAACAGGTTTTAACAGAGTGAGTGTTTATTCAAACATAAGAATGCTTTAAGAGTACATAAACGAGGCATATAGACAGGTTTTCTATTGGATTCTTTGTTTAGTTTCGCTTATATTTCAGGCACTGATGGAATGTTCTCATGAAAGTATATTAATAAACGAATTAGTAGGGATATATACTAGCTCATTGTTGCCGAGAACTCAATTAGCAGCAGCGCATGCATTATATTTAGCACTCGACAGGTGCCGCGATATGGTGCATGTGACCAATGATAAAAACATTGTACAGGTATCGCGAATAATATATTTGTATCCAATCTTTATATCTTATATAGCCATATATTTTCAATATTTTCCATTAAAATGAGAAAAATTCTATATTTTGCACACATATAAGTATGCATTATTCATTGTGCGTTATTTTTTTAATTTATACATAGACCGTAATTTTACATTGCTTTTAGTTTCTAAATAAAGTCAGCGAAAAATTGTTAGGATATAAGGTAGAAGAGATGATGGGAAGAAACCTCTCGGAAATAGTATATTACGAAAATTTTCCTCTTATGGAGCAGCAACTAAGTAAAGGCCGAGAATTCGAAGGAAATATGAATTGCAAGAGAAAAAACAATCAAATGATTACGATCAATTGCAGGATAATTCCATTCTGTATTACATTAAAGTATGTTTCCTTGATGTAGTAATTTCTAAAAAGTTTAATATATTTTTTATAAAATTTCATTACTTTGTGTTAATTCGATGAAGTTTTTCGTACATTTAACATGTTCTAATTATTGAAAAAAAGCAACCTTTTTCATTATAAAGTATCATTATTATTGAAATACGCTCTGTTTATTATTTTATAATAACTGTCCTATTATAATTTTATCGATTATTATATCTATCTTCAGAAAACCAAGTCATTATATATACGTATACGATACTACGTATTTATCGGAAAATTCAACGCCAATAAGCCCAATTAGCAGCCCGTTGCATCCTCCTCTTAAAACGAATGTGACGAACGCGCGGAAATCCTCGGATGTCAGATCTGGTATAAGTGAAGATAAAGGTATTTCTACAATATCAAACAAATATTATCGCTAATATTAACGAATTGTATGAATATAATTAGAAAAAGTTGTCAATAAAGAAAATTTCGTCTTCTCAGTTTATGCTTTGGTATAAAAATGAACGCATTGAAAGGCGCGAATTAGGTCACCGGCAATTTTATGACACACTTTGCGGCACGTATTTTTACGTTGAAGAGTTATCGCACCAATATCAACATATTGTCGTTGTAAACATGTCAAGAAATTTAATAGCACAAAACTGGAACACACCTGCCATAGCCTGATTAATACGAAGACTTTATGTGTCTATTGTTCTAATTAATTACTGATATATTTTGAAGATTTAAATTATGTATTTAAATTATAGTATTCTGTTACATAGTATGTAATTTCTAAATTTTTATAATATTAAGTCGCATAGTTATTTTTAAAAATTCTATCTGTTATTCTTATCATTGTAATCTTAATCTAATTTAATGTACAATAATTCCTTACGAGAAAGATTATTTTTTGTAACAGGCCGTAGACGGTCCAGCTTGCAAAAATTGCATACCTTACAACTGGAAGCTCCTATCACTAAAGTCATTACGTTACTTTCGAATGCGGTCACGGATACAACTAATCCGGAAACTGCAGCGCAGATCGATAAAGTACGTGATTAATCGAAATGCTTATATCCTGTAGTCATGTCTATCCAATTAAATAGATATATGTTGTTTGCTGCTACATCTTCTACGTCTTTCACAGGCAATCGATATCCTAAAGACGACGGAACTCTACGTACCGCATCTTAAGGAAGATAGAGCAATGTGTAGCGATCCAGTTGCTACGGATCTCGTTGGCGCATTACTTGCCGTAAGAATTTTAGCGTTCTTCGTTTCGAATGAAGAAAATAACAAACTTGCAATAAATATAAATCACGCATTTATGAAATTTAATGAGATTTTTTTTCTTGATATATTTTGTCGTTATTTGATTAACAGTCTCCGCGCACAGCGTGGGAATCCAGAAGGTCGTCATCGGATTCTGCGAGACTATCCACTATCAAGGCTATCACCAGTCCGGCCAATTCGCGCGTGCAAGTAAAAAATTTCCGGGGACCGCAAGAAATTATGGAGATATTGGACAAAAGTCTCGACTGGGACTTCGAGATATTTAAGCTTGAAGTACTGACGGAGAGAAGGTGGGTCACGTGAACTATCAACATCATTTTGCATGAACGATATGTTTTGTAACAGTTTTATAATTATTAATTTAAAACAGATGTCCTGCATTTTTTTCGTATAAAAGAGTATTATGTTTATTACCTAAATTGTTTGCGTTTTAATTTATTACAGACCGCTCGTTTTCTTGGGATTAACAATCATGAATTTATATCAAGTGCCCGCTATATTACATTGCGATGAGAGAACGTTACAGAACTGGTTAGCCATTATCGAACACAATTACAACGCGGAGAATAGCTATCACAACTCAACGCACGCGGCCGATGTCTTGCAAGCCACTGCGAGATTTATGCAATCAAAGAGGCTCAAAGAAATTTTAGAACCTTTAGACGAGGTTGCTGCTCTAATAGCCGCCATAGCGCACGATATTGATCATCCTGGACGATCCAGGTGAGATGTTTTACTTTCAATATTGAAAAATAAGACAAGCTATATTAACAAAAATGTAGCTTTTTAATGATATGCTTAAGTTACATATTTATAGATTTTTATTTTAATCACAAAACTTTAGAAAAAAAACTTGACAGAATTGTCTAATTATTTTTGAAGTAAATATTTAATAAAAATTTAATTAGTACTTATCATTCAAAAAGATCTAAACTCTTGACACACATATATTGATAATCTGGTATTGAATTTAAATTCATTTGCAGTCAATTTCTTTGCAATGCCAACAGTCGTTTGGCAATACTCTACAATGATTTATCAGTTCTCGAATCGCATCATGCAGCCTTAACATTTAAACTATCATTGTCCGACGATAGTGTGAATATTTTTAAAGTAAGTTATTTTGTGTTCGTTGAATCGCTAATTTAAAGGCGAACGTATAGACTATGCTGAAGTTGTAACACTGGATTGAATGTCTGCTTTAGAATATGGAGCGAGATGCATACAAACTGTTACGACAAAATGTCATTGACATGATTTTGGCGACCGAAATGACGAAGCACTTCGAGCACCTGGCGAAGTTCATGAATGTTTGCAGCGCAAGAATTGGCGACGGTCAAGAGGTACGGTATATTATTATTTTCACGTTAAAATTGTTAGTAATCTTATTTTGTATTTAATTTAAGTGTCAATTAATTATCATTATTAATTTTTCACTATAGATTAAAGTTTGTAATGTATCATCCTCATTATTACTTTCTTAATTGATAGTTATATAGATTATCAATAATATAAAAAATCTAATTGCACTCTTCAACAATATGATTCTCCATATTCTTATCATTCAAACATAAATGATTAAAAATCAGTTTCGCAATATTTTAAAAATTATTTTAGAAAATATAGATATATCTAATATAGATGAGATTATAATTTTATATTTAAACTGTTCTAATACATGTTTAGAATATATATAATGAATGAAAATTTAAATTTAGAAAAATCTTTCACAGACATATTCAGATTCTCTGGACATGACTGTAGTATTACAGCCAGATAACGTAATACTAGTTAAAAGAATGATGATTAAATGCGCGGACGTATCTAACCCAACGCGGCCATTGAAACGTTGCGTCGAATGGGCGAGACGAATCGCGGAGGAATATTTTAATCAGGTGATTTTGATAATTAGTAACTAAAATTGTTTATACGGAGAAGATAATTCACTACTTCCACGTTGAAATATTTATTGATAATTTTCAGACCGATGAGGAAAAAAAGTTGAAAATGCCAGTCGTAATGCCAATGTTCGACAGAATGACGTGTTCGATACCGAAATCGCAAATTGGTTTCGTCGATTATATCATTAACGATATGATCGAGGCTTGGGATGGTTCGTTTTCTTTATTACTTTAGATTCCTCATTAAATCTTAATATTCGAATTGTTATTTTTGCTATTTGTTATTTTTCGTAGTATTTATCGACATGCCGGAAATAGTGGGCTATATGCGACACAATTACGAGAAATGGAAAGAATATAATGTAAGTTTTTTAATTTAATCCGCAATTTAATTACTTCGAGATAATTAACGCGAAATCACTGTGCAGTTATATAACAATGTTCATTAATTTCATAGTAATATTATTTCAAAATTTGAAGATAGAAAGAACATCAGATTTAAATATCAAAATCCGGATGTTTAAATTCTAAGTTTATTTATTGACATATTTCGTTTCAAATTATGTTTTACAGGAACAAGGTATATCCACTTTACAAGATGTTGAGAAGCTACAACAATATCCCGAGATGCAAATATTGCGATTATCTCAAAGCTGAAAAGCGTGTCTCGTTTTGCATCTCGTTTCATGCCTCATTATGTAATATTTACGCTGCGATTATCGCAAAGACATGTATAGTATTTATGTATTTAAGGATAGAGCAACAATGTCGTGTCTTCTCGAGTCGTTTTAAGAAAATACATATAATTTGCCGTTTCGCGTGCTACTAGCATTTTCACTATTTATATATAACTCCATTTCCCTCAATGACATTCGCCGTATTATTATTTTAAACATGTGTGTGACACATTAATAAGATACTTATAGTCTAATGAAAGAAATACCTTTGTGTATGCAGCTCCGAAGAATGTGTTATTTCGAACAAAATCTTCGCGCATGCTGGTTATTAAATTTGTACATGAGACCGACAAATAAATAAGAATATTGCATTTGAAATCGTTTCTTACTTCTTATAGCCAGAATTGAATTCCTCGCCTAATTTTATCATTAAGTTTCGACGGTATAACTATTATTTGGAAGGGTTGGTATAACTTAAGTCGAAAGAAAACACTCGCACTATGTGGGTCCGATTTCACTTTATTGTTTCTTTCAGCCAAGAAATGGCGTAGGGCCTAATTCTATGCGCTGCATAAATACAGAATTAAATAGAACCAGATAAAATGTAAGCCGTATCCAGATGAAATTTTGCACAGTTTTTATCAACAGAGCGTATATAATTTCAGTATGCAATTACAAATTTTTCGTTTTTTTGTTAATACAGAAAACACGCATTCGCTTTCTCAATCTAAAATGTCCTGATATAATGTTGTTGCATCTAAGAACGATAATTACATTTATGCACGTTATAAACCGAAAAGGATGAGTATAATAACATCAATAATCCATCGAGTTACAAGTATCAATCTGACGGATGGTTACTAACATAAGTCACATTCATCATAAAGATTCTTACGTATGCTGACATATGCTTACAGTATATACGCATTACATCATAATATGTACGTCTACGGGACGCACGGATGATCATGGTCGTTTTATCCAGTATCAACGAGACATTTAACTTTTTTACTTCGAAAGACAATCAGAGAGTATTGAATCATTTTTAGAATTTATTCGAAGTATGACACGTAAACACACGGAATACTTCACAATAATATTTTGGAGTAAAGATGAAGATAAAGGTAAGATGCTCTTAAGGTAAGCCTCCTGCTCCTTATCAATTAATAGTAGTGGTAAATTTCCTGCTCCTTATCAATTAATAGTTAGTAGCGGGCCCATAATACCGAAGATGTCCGCCAACAGTGCCAATACACGGTTGGCGGACATAAAATAACTTAATTACCTTAGATATCATTTGTATTATAATGCCACATAGTATGATTCATCGGAACTATGCTTAATGTCTACGAATTATACTTAATGTTTCGTCTTTTTTAATATACGCATAAGTGCATTGTTAGAGTCAAGAATTTGCTTAGATCTTTCCCCTTTCAAGATATGTCTTTTAATTAAATAAAAGAAATTCCCTTCTGGTGGGAATTGGGATTTGTCATTGATAACCGTTTATTTTGAAGTCCTAAAATTATACTTTTCGCTTTTGGTCGCTGAGATATTTTGATAATCGTCCAGTTTAAACATCACAGATAAATCTTCTTTTTTTGGTTGCGAGAAAATTAAAAATTTATTCATTTTGCAGGAATACTATAATATAAGACTGTTTCTCAATGTGTTGCGAATTGTTGATAATCAATAGCGTATTTTTAGACGAAATTTAAATCGGGATTTATTTCGAGATTGTTTCAATAGCACTTGTGTCGTTAATAAACGGAATTCCAGGGGTAAAGAACTAGCGTATTTTAGTGTTAATATGACATAGTTATATTATATTTTTATTGGCATATAGCCTTTCCTTAAATATTATTCTTAGCATTACATATAGTACACATATACATCTAAGCTTTCTCTTTTTTTTTGGTGACGTGCACGTCATTTTCCGTTATTGTTTTATATTTTGTTGCGACTCATTACCTTTCTAATGACATATCTTTCCCCAATAAGGGCAAGCCATTACAAGTCAAGTTATGTAATCCGGTGAATCGCCGTCTTTATCGATTGGTGCATTGCGGCTAAAATTATCTTCGCGCGAAGTTAACGACGCAAAAACTGATCAGACTATGACCTATCTTTCGTGCAAATAAATATCGTGCTCACGCGATCATCGCGGTTAAAATGATTAAATCCCAAAAAGAAACTCAAGGGTGCCATGACGGCTCAATGAAAATCTATGTCGCGCAAAGTTAACACCGGCGTTAATCATAACTTAATTTCTTATACATATTGAACGAGAAAGAAGCAAATCGAAGGAAACGTATTCTAAGAAAAACGCGTAAAATCCAATATCCTAAAATAACACGCATGTAGGCGCAGCCCGTATTAAAAATGCGCTCTTAGCACTCTCCGTGTCTTCTAAAAACATTTGGTAACTCTTGTCGATTTAATATTCCTCCGTGGAGTCAAAGTGACTTACTTTAAGCTTGTAAATATGATTTTTAACTCGCGGCAAGTAAAGTGTGTCCTCGATGTTTGTTGCGATTTCTGAATAAACCGACATTCAATTTTCATCACGACTGATCGAAGACGCGCTGTTTCTATTTCGGTCGATTTCTCTATTTCTAGTGGTTTGCTCAGCGAAGTACGGCCGGAGCGAGAAAAGTTTTAGAGAAACTCTTGATTAAAGTCCCTTTTGGTGTAATACAATGACTGGATGATTTTAAGTTTTTTAAATAGTTATAATACAGAAGATGTAACGTCGCGATTATTTATAACAAAATTACGCGTTTTGATGCACTCTTAAAATTTCCGTCTTTAAATACGACTGTCTAAAGTAACAGGCTGATAAGCAAAGTGCATTAGATATCCTACTACATTATGCCATTCCGCGATTTCGACGGAGGCAGCGTTCAAACGTCGTACAAAGAAAGGCTCGATAACAAATCGATGATGTTTGCTTGAATAGTCAGACGGTGTCGTTTTTACAGAGGAATTCGATCGTATCAAATCTGCTTTTTTTTACACAACACCGTTCATTATCAGCCCCAAATTCGGTTCGTAAGGCGCTACGCTTCGCGGCAATCGCGGGATGACGAACCGGTGAGAATTCCGATCGTATAGATCGTAGTTTCATAAAATAGCAAGAATGTTCGAGATGCCGTCGCGAGGAAGAACGGCGGAGTCGATTTCCACTAAAATCCCTGTATTCAAAGTCGATGTATTCTTGGACAGGCTAGTCAGTGAAACGTCACGTGACATTGTAGGAGAGCACCTCCTACGCATCGCGGCTATTTAAGATGAACCCGCGATTCGCGCCGAATCAGAAGTCGATTCGGATGATACCGGAATCGTCTGGTGGTCTACGAGTAATCAATCGAAGTCCACGTTCCACATAAAGTACGGTATTCCCGCGTTGTGATTTTTTTGTGTGAACTCCAGGATTTCCCCGGTTAAGAGTGTAATCTTTGCGTCCTCACTTATAGCTTACTAATAGCTTACCTTAAATGGGCTTTCAGTACAAGTTTAGCTACAAGGAGATTGTAATGCATCGATAATCTTAAGATTACTTAACATTAATTATTTGCCTTATACGAGCATCGCTTTCTGGATTTAGACCCAAATGTATGCTTATTAGTACGAAATATTTTGTGCGATTCTATTCGAGATAAGATTGATTCGAGATAATCTTAAGCTAACGGTCCTTATGTCCTCGCATCCACCCATCCAACTACCGACAAGAGCGGTCATTGAAAACGCATGTCCTTAATTCTGGAAGAAGGGAAAAGTAAGGAAATTTTATCGCGAGTCATTTGCGATGTCCGGATCTTTAATTGTCGGTATTGCATTTGGTAAATCGCGCGTTTCGAACGCGTATGAGGTACAAGGCTTTGCAATTGCAGTGGGCAAATGTAATTCTAAACTAGTCCCTGCGCTATCTGATTGATCCTGCGCTATCGTTGTTCCATCGTCTAAGTTGGTCGATACTCAATTCCGACGGTCTGTCGGCCCAAGATTGAACTTTCACTTAAACTCCCTGCGTGATCTTACGCGAACGGACTAGCTTCTTACGGTTCCGCGCTGCCGCTTATAACTTACGACTAGCCTAAACTTTATGAAGTATTTCGTATTTTTTCGAGTGTTGAGTCGCAAAACCGATTTGTATATACGAGCTATCAGTAATCTCCCCGATATCTATGTATCTCGCGCACATACTACTTTACATTGCTCATCCACCTTGTGGAATTAGGTGACATTTTTTATGAATATCTTTAAATTTGCTTACGCGAAATTTCTCTATTGTCGCGCGAGAAAAGTTGTGATTATAACTGTGTTCAAAATTGCCTCATCTACATTACGTGATTCAAAATTAAGATCCGCGTTAAGATCTATTTTTTTTATATACAGATTAGTCCAGTCTGTCAAATGGAAGAATTCAAGTGTGAGTGAAAAAGAGCTTCTCGCATATATTAGATTTTAACGAAGGGGAGTTTTTAAATCTAAAGTACAATGTGAATTCACAGTGTGAATTAATGGATTCTCGATCGACGCATTCTTACGTACGCCCTAAAACTATTGATTAGTCGTATTATAGTTACACGATTTACCACTTAGACTTCGTATAAGCAACTTTTGACGAGTCAAGAAGATGTGCGATTCGCTTATTGTAGTCTTTTTATTATAAATGCGTATTGTGTCGGCGAAAACTCATCCACTCCGGAATGGATGACTTAGATTTCGGTGAGCCTTTTGTAACTGCAATGTATTTGTTGTAGAGTAAGTTGTTATTAATGATAAGTTGTTAATCGAGGGGTTCTTGCGTATATGAGTGCATGTACGTTAATCCCTCGGATTCGAGAAATTAATTATACGCTTAACGATAATCCTTAAATACTGCCCGATCAATAATTCTTATTCAATCTAGCTTACAATAGAACTTAGAGTTAGTATAGATGTAAGGTGCGATTACTATTCGATAACGTTCTTTTGCTCTTGCTTCAGTTTTCATTTGCTCTCGTTTTCAGCCATCTATATATTATTCTTTCACACCTCGAAGATTTTCTTTTCTTCTTTTTTTTTGGATTTTTTGGTTCTTTTTTTCTTTAATTCTTTCTTCCTTGCCTTTGTTATCGACAAGTATCAACATTCTGTCAAGACTGTTGATGAGCTGATAAGCTCCCGTCGTTTATCGTAGTGACCTCTTTTTCACATGTATCTAAATACACATGTTACACGTGTAATTAATATATCCGTGTAATTTTTAGTATACAAGTACACGGGTATTGAAATACACGAGTACACGCGTATCTTCAATACACATTCAAAACCATGATCCCTACTTTGTAGATGTCCATTGTGCCCCTCGTTTTCCGCAATTGGTGGGACGACTTCGATCGTCCCGTTTCGCGGCTATTGGACCAGCACTTTGGCATCGGCCTCCATCGAGATGATCTCATCTCGAGCCTCTCCGGACTTGGCCTCGATCGAAACCCGTCCGTACGCTTCGGGAATAGGTACTATCGACCATGGGGGAACGTGACGCGTCAAAACTCGAGCGGAACCAGCACGATCCAGTTGGACAATGATAATTTCCAGGTTAGTAGATTATAATTTGTAGATTGACTTTAAAATGTCGAACAATAAAACAGAACGCTGCGTGATCAAATCGAAAATGAATTTGTACATCTTTTTTCTCTTTGCGGATGTTTTGATTTGAGCGCTAATTTTGAATTGAGTCTAAACGTGTGGACTTTTGTAAATAGGATAAAGTTTTTAATTTGTAGCTGTACGTCGCCTGTAATGGAGCGTTGAAATGTTGGA